GAGTTGCATCTGATTGCGACATGCGCGGGTCTCGCGCATGACCGCCAGTCCCCAGAAGGGAAGCGGGTTTGGCACACTCGCCCGATGCTTTTCAGGAGATTGCGTCTGCGCTGAAGTCCAGCAGCTACCCGAAGCACGTCATCGAGATGTTGAGTTCGTGGCTTAGCCGGCTTTGCCACTAGCACCTGCACCGGTGGGGAGTTGATGCGAACTCGACGTAGCGCTTGCGACGTCAGCAAACGTTCGCAAGCGATACCTTTTTCCGAAGTCCCTGAATTCCCAACAGACTTGATTGTTTATCCGGTGTATCAGTTTGAGCGTTTTGCGGGGATCAGTTTGGCCGAGGCCACAGCCTGCCTCTGTGCCGTGCCCTGAGTGCTCTGACGGTGGGTCGTCTCATTTCTCTCCAGATGCAACTATCAGGCTTGGGCGAGACGAAGGAGGAGAGGCACGAGTTCCAGGCGCATGACCGAAAGTTTCCGATCTCTTGAGGCAACCTGCTGGCACAGCGCCTGCAGGTTCGCACTGTCGCGATGACTGCGGAGGTGCTCGCATCCGTCCAGGTGCTTCCCGGCACGCTCGTGATGCAATTGTTGCTTGCGTACGCATACTAGTACCGTCCTGTCCGCTGATCGCCTGAATAAGTTGCCAGTTCTTTCGCAGGGCCAGACCACCCTTGCCCCGTTTGTGCGCAGGCGGACCTTGAGTCCAAGATCTCAGGCGCCGAGGACGGGCACATGCTGCGTCGCACGATGATGCTCTGACGTTCTCCGGAGCTGTGCAGGAGAAGATCGCATCTGGAGATGCAGAGAAGACCAAGCGAGAGGCACCTGCTGAGCAGCTCCCCACGCATCGCANNGAAGAAGCCCTGAAGCTGCAAATCTGCATGCTGGTCCGACTGCGCAGGCTGCTGTGGAGGTGGGATGGGAAGCGCCCCGCCGAAGGAAGCATGGATGAGGCATTTTGCCAGTGACAGGAGACCAAGAAGGCCGTTGAAGAGAAAGCCGCCGTCATGGAGACGACCAAGAAGGAGAATCCACTCTCTGTGTTCAGGAAGGAAGTCTTCCAGTAGGCTGGCTGCCGCTAGTTTTTTCGTTTCTCATGCCATCTGCTGCTCCAGCTTCTGAATTGCTGATAGATGCGCCTTGGGGAGACCTACGAATCATACGTTGTGGCACGCTGCCACCTCGCAGGAGGCCGAGGTGGCCGCAGAGGAGCTCAGCGCCGCTGAAAAGGCGAACGAGGGGAAGCATGGGGAAACCCTCCGTATCCCTCCGTTGGGGGCGTGTCTGCAGGCCCACAAGACGGCCGAACAGGAGCAGAAGGCGCCGCGTTTCCCTCCTCGCAGAAGTTTCCTGCCCTTAAGCAGCGTCTCTCTTCGTTTGCACGAGGCTGGTGACACGAAGCTTGTCCAGGCTGAGACGAAGAAGGAAAAGCTGGAGCGCAGCCCTTAGTCTAGTCGCCACACTGGGCACGGCGGCGCTGTGTCCCGAAGCCCAATGTCCGGCAAGTTTCGTGCGTCCCGAAGTTCGGTGGAAGTGGCATCATCCCAAGGACGGTGATGACATCGGTCTTCGTCCCGTGCAAGGCTGTTCACTTCCGGGTGAACCGTTACGGCCGTTGTGGCTTCGACTTGTCCATGTCACTTCTTTTTGAAGCCTCCGGCCTGCGGGAGACCTTGCGATCAGGATGGCACCGTGGAGGCTGGCTCCAAGTCCAAGGCAGGGGAGCGTTTGACACACTCAGCGGATACCTTGGCCCTTCGACGAAACCGTCGATACTGGCACCGCAAAGCTTCGCTGATGAGCTCCTCAGCTATCAGCTGTGCAGTGTGCAACCGCTGATTTGCTCATGGCACAACTTCGCAGGCCATCCAGGAGATCACCAAGCTCGGTCGAGCCGAAGGCGCAACCAAGCACAAGTTTTT